GATCAAGAAGATGTGGTTTATCTATACAATGGATTACTACATGGCAATGAGAAAGAATGAAATCTGGCCATTTGCAGCAACATGGATGGAACTCGAGGGTGTTATGCTGAGCAAAATAAGTCAGGCAGAGAAGGACAGCTACCAATATGTTTTCACTCATAGGTGGATCAGGAGAAACTTAATTGAGGACTATGAAGGAGGGGAAAAGGAAAAAAATAGTTAAGAAGAGGGAGGGAGACAAACCACAAGAGACTCTTAAATACTGAGAACAAACTGAGGGCTGATAGGGGTGGGGGGAGAGGGAAGGGGGATGATGGGCAAGGAGGAGGGCACTTGTTGGGATGAGCACTGGGTGTTATATGGAAACCAACCTGACAATAAACTATATTTTTAAAAAAATTTTTTTAAATTACCATCGCAGTTACCAGTGGAGGGGACTACATGAGAAATCCATTTATGTAAGACATTCAGCCAATCACTTTGTTAAAGTTCTATAAAAACAGGTGATTGAGTCCTTCAACATATGTGACATTTTCTATACAACTTTAATATATTCATATACACTTAAAAAATCTTTTTTGGCCTCAGATAGTATTAGTGAAGGATTCTGTGGCAACTAGTATGTGCTTTTACTTAGTTTTACCAAAGATGATGGCACTAAAATATGAGGGTTTATATTTTCCCTGTGTTTACCTACCATTTTTCCCCCTCAAGCTTCCTGGTAGCCTGGGGACGGGACTCGGTGCCTTAGATGGCCTCAGATATTTTCCCCAAAAAGTCCAGAAGGGATCTTCCTGCTGTGGTTGTACTTACACATCTCCAAACCAGGGTCTGACCAGGCACAAGGAGGGAGTTTTCCATTTAAATTCTGAGAATAGAACCCATCCTCCCCACCCCCACCGCACTCCCACATTTTGTCCAGATTGTAAACTTGATTTACAGTAAACTAGCAAGTCTTTCCAAGATTCTAAAGAAAGAAAATAATCACAGAAAGAACAGAACAAGTCCCAGCGGCGGACGCAGTACTCTGCAGGGCACACAAAGCAGACTATGTTCACACTGTCACACAAGGTCCCCCAATCAAACACTCAGTGTTTAACTCTGAAGCCATACAATTTTTTTAAATATTTTCCTACACGGACTTGGGAATTTAGCTTTTCTTCAAACAAAATGCCATAAATAGAGCATTGCCTCTTACTATTAAAAATAAGCAGCAGCAAAAATGCTAAAATATACAAACAAACCGTGTGTATTGATCATGGCTCTAGTGAACCAGAGAGACTAAGGGACATTTGGGATTTGCTGACGGGACACACGCCCATTGTTCCCACGTGGGAGCAGGATATATAGGCCGGGGATATACAGAAGCTCTGGCTTTTGGTCCTCCAAATGATGTTATATAGAAGGGTTTTTAAGTCATCGGTTTGATGAAATTTAATTTTGACCAAGTCTTTACATTAACTCAGGGGACTGTGTTGTGCTTTATAGTTTATAAAGCATTTTCCTTAGCATTCTCTCACGTAAAGCTCAAACCTGTGGTTTTATTTTTAGTATTCTTTCACAGTTGAGAAGACTGATGCTCACACAGGTTGGTAAATTCTCTGCTAAATCACCTGGCCAGGACTTCAGCCAGGTTAGCTCAGCATTCTCTGTGCTACATCAAGTGTACTTTGCACCACATCACATCACTAACTTTCCCAAAAATACTAGATGGCCTCAATTTCCTTCCACTTAATGCATGTGAGGTCACACTGTTACCATAACTTTGTACTTCATCTGACTTGGACAGTCATAGTTGGCTTGGTTTCCCCAGAGACCTCATGAAAATACTCAAACGCTAATCAAGGTGTTGCTGTGAAGGTATTTTGTAGACACGATTCAAGTCTATAATCAATTTATGTTAACTAAGGAATATTACTGTAGATGATCTGGGTGGGCCTGATTCAATAAGGCCTTTAGAGCAGAAATGAGGTGTTCCAGAAGAAATTCGACATATGGACACCAGCTTCAGCTCATGCCTGAGAGTTCCAGCCGACCCTTCCTGACAGCCTAGCCTATGTTTTTTCGACTTAACCTAATAAGCCCTCACAATCACATAAACCAATGCCTTGAAATAAATCACTTTAATATATACCTTTTACTGGCTGTGTTTTTCTAGCAGACCTCTGACTGATACTGATCTTCCAGAGTTTTTTCAATAACCAGAGGGAAAGGAACGATGGGATAAAACCCTCTGAAAATCCACTTCTCCATGAAAGTAATCAGAATAGCAGCAAAATTGTCATCATCGACTTTTTCAGAACCTTGGACATTAACCAAAACCTTGTAGCAATTTGAGGAGCTTTTGTTCAAGAAAACTGGATCTTGGGCAGAAGTGAGCTTTTTGTGTTTTATCTTACCTTGCGCTCAGAGAAACAAAAACTGAGAAAATCTGCCACTAGCAGATCCTCCCAATCAATATAAACACTAAGTGAAGTCCTTTGAGCTGAAATGAGGGTGATGTCAACAAGACGGTGAAGTGGGAAGCCCTGGACCCTCCCTCGCCCAACAAACACACCAATCCAGCAACAGTTCAGAGACCGTCTCTTTATGAGAAATCCGGAAACAAACTGAAAGCCTGCTGCATTGGAAAGAACACAAAACTAGCCTCATCAAAGTCAGTAGGGAGACTCAGGACACCCTCCCATGAGAGTCTCCGCACCTGGCGTTGCACCATGTGATCAGGAAAGAGCGCCCCCACCCAGCTCCCTGCTTAACCTAGGGGAAGAGGCTGGTTTGTATATCCAGCACCCCAACTTTTTCCAGAGGTCTCCCCAGAAGACTAGCCCTTGTCTTGCCAGTCTCGGAGCTCTGACAGGTCTGGCACAGTTCACTGCCTGGGGATAAATGGACACAGTAGCTTGGGCTGATAGATGCCACATCCTCCCCCTGCCTGGCACAGGGTGAGCGGATGAAAAATCCCCATCCGCTGTCAGCCACCACTAGGGAGGAAAAGGGTTTATCTTTACATCCACCTCCTCAACGTTTCCAGAGCTGCCCAAAGAGCTAGCAACTGCCTAACCAGTTCTGAATCTCTTGACTGGTCAGCACAGTCTAGTCACCTAGGGGAGAAGAGAGACAGTGGTTTGGATGGAGGCCATAGCCACCCACACCCCTGCTCAGCACAGAGCAGGAGACAAAAATGACAGCCCTGCGCTTCTCCCTGAGGAGGGAAAGAGCTGGTAGAGGTCCCCAGAATCTCCCAATGAGCTGAATAAACAGGGGTGGCTGCACAAAGCCAGTCCACGAAGCAGGAGAGGGCCTGATTTGCCTAATGCAGGGATCCCAACAGAGTCAAGGGAAATGAACAACCAGGCAAAGATGTTCCAACCAAAGCCACAAGACTTATGCCCAGAATTCGTAAAGAACTTTTACAGCTCGACAATGAAAGGGACACATTTTAAGAGGAGGAGTGACTCTGAATAGATGTTTCCCCAAAGAAGATACACACATGGTTCATAAATACATGGAAAGGCGCTCAACATCATTAATTACTAGAAAAATGCAAACCAAAGCCACAAATCACTTCACACTCACCAGGACAGATACAATCAAAAAGCCAGACAATAGTAAGGATTGGCAGAAGATGAGGGCTCGGAACCCTGAGTGCCAGGGGAAATGTAAAATGGTGCGACCACTTTGGAAAGCCATCCAGCAGTACCTCGAATGGTTCAACACGGGTTACCATTTGACTCAGGAATTGCACTCCTAGGTATATCACCAGGAGAAGGGATGCATTCCTTCTGGAAGCCCTACGGTAGAATCCATTCTCTTGCCTTTCTAGCATCCAGAGTCTGCCTATATTGTGGGCTTGTGGCCCCTTCTTTCATCTTCAAAGCCAGCAGTATAGCATCTTCAAATTTCCCTCTCTGACTGTTTCTTTCATCACATCTCCTTTTTGGTTATATTAGCTAGTGATCTATTTTGTGCATCTTTTCCAAAGAACTAGATTTTTTTTTTAAAAAAAAAAACCAAAAATTAATTTTTTTTTTTTTAATGTTTATTTATTTTTGAAAGAGTGTGCAAGCAAGGGAGGGGCAGAAAGAGAGGGAGACAGAGAATCCCAAGCAGGCTCCTCACTGACAGCAGAGAGCCCCCATGCGGGGCTCAAACTCATGGACAGAGAGATCATAGTCCTGAGCCCAAGTCCAACACTTAACTGACTGAGCCACCCAGGTGCCCCTACAATTTTGATTAATGGGTTTCATCTACTATTTTTCTGTTTTCAATCTCATTAATTTCTGCATTTGCCTTTATTATCTTTGTGTGCTTTTGGTTTTATTCTTTTTTTTCCCTAGACTTTTGAATTGGGGCTCTCATTCATTTATTTTCCATTTTTAATTTTAATTGATAGAGGTGTTTAGGGCTATGAATTTTTAATGAGCACTGCTTCTTACATAGAGATGTTTTAAATACATAACAATATAAAGGTTTTACGTATACAGTCTTGATTCATAGCTTTTCAGAAATTATCATTCTCATTTTTCAGAAATTCTGTAACTTTTGTGTGTATTTCTCTTGTAACCCAAGAATTGTTCAATAGAAATTTTTAAAAATTTCCAGGTGGAAGTGCTTTCTTGTTTTTAGTTTTAATTTCTAGCTTTATTGTACTGTGTTCGGAAACTATTAATAACAGTTCACTTTGAGGAAACCCATCAATGATTTCTTTGGGCCCTAATATACGATCCCTTTTCAGGAATGTTCATATGGTGTTTAAAAGAAGGTATAGTCTTTATTATCACGGAGCCGTGTCTGATATATATCAAAAGGATCCGAAGGCTAAGGGTGCACAATTCACTCCAGTATTGGTGTCGTCTGGGGTCCACAACACCGACAGGTCCCAGCTGTTTCTCTGTTCAAGTTTATATACACTTTCGGGTCACCGACGCCGCGCGCTGTGACCCGACTCTCGACTTCACTCCCGAGTTGCCTTATCAATCAATATCAAGGTTCCCACTCACCTCTTTCTGATGACAAACAGAACTTTCCCGTCGTCTCTGACATCATGCCCTCAGCCAGTGCGCGTGCTCTGTTGACAAGGTCGACGAATTCCACACCCCGAAATACCTGGCGCCCAGAGAAACAGCGCGCCGGAGCCGCTCTGAGCCGCGGCAGGTCCTCGCCGCCATCTTGCGTGGCTGACCCTTGACCCCGCGTCCTGACGCACTGGGTGCCCACGACGCAGGCGCACTCTAGCTTACTAAACCCACTTTGTCTCCCATTGTGAGTTCGGCCGCATACAGCCTTATTGTACTTTCTCCTCTGCCTCTTTCTTTGCTTCTCGTTTCGAGTTACATTTTTCTTACTTTTCCAGAGCATGTAATGTTTATGTATTATTCTTTTACCCATAATTCCACCCTTATGTTGGCCTTGGCGCTATAATTAAATACGGGAAATGGTCACCATCGGACCTTCTGCCAGTTTCCCCAGTCATGGCTTCCTGGATAACGTCCACCGTGTAGTCCGTGAGTAGGGAAGCTTTCTCATTAAGGAACCTGATAGTAAATATTTTAGGCCTGGTGGGAATCTGTCAAAATTACTCGGCTGGCTGTTGTAGTGCAGAAGCAGCCATAGACAATATACATAAATGAATGGTTGTGGCTATGTTCCAATAAATTTTATTTACAAAAATGGATAGTCGGTTTGCCGTGATAGTTAATTTTATGTGTCAACTTGACTGGACCACAGGATGCCCAGATATTTGGCCAAGCATTATTTCTAGGTGTGTCTGTATGACATTACCACTTGAAACAATGGATTCAGTAGTTTATCTCCCCTCCCCACCACACCTCACCCCCTTCCCCCATCCCCCATCCCCCACACCCTAAATGTAGGAGAGCATCATTCAATATGTTGAGGGCCTGGTTAGAAGAAAACAGGAGAGGAAGAATTCAGCCTTCCTGCCTGGTTGTTTGAGTTGGAATATTGATCTCCTACCCAAGGTACTCTTGGTTCTTAGGCCTTTAGACTCAGACTGAATCACACCACTGGCTTTCCTGGGTCCCCAGCTTGCAAATGGAAGATCATGGAACTTCTCAGTCTCAATAACTGTGTGAGCCAATTCCTTACATAAATTTCTTCCCATATATCCATCCTACAGGTTTTGCTTTCCTGGAGAACCCTATTATGCCTGTTCTAACAGATTCCTTAGGAAGAGCACCTGTATATGGGAGTCCCTGAGCTCCTGCATGCTCAGGACTATTCTTCAATAGCCTTGATATTTGAAGGGTACCTTGGCTGAATAACTTTCTTCTTTATCTTTAAAGTCTAATCATTTTACGTGGCCTAGGAGGCAGCTTCCGGTGATCCTCTCCTCCTGGTACTCATGCCTTTGTTTTGTCCTGTCCCCTCAAGTGTAGACTGGAAGAGTGACTCGCTTCTAACAAATAGAATATAGCAAAAACGATGTGATGTCACTTCCAAGATTAGTTTATGAAAAGACTCTGGCTTCCATCTATCCTCACCCTCTCTTGCTCTTTTGCCTGCACCCTCTGACAGAATCCAGCTGCTATGTCGTGAGCAGAGGCCGACTTGGCAAGGAACTGATATTGCTTATCGATAGCCAATGGAGACCTTCAGCATGCCCAAAACCATGAGAGATCCTCCCACCCCCACATCCAGTATCATCACATCCTCCTAATTCTCCCTCCCAACTATCCCTCAAAATTCATCTACTTTTCTCCAGGTCTACCACCTTGTTTAAGCTCTCAGAGTCCATTTGGTTACTCAAGCCAAAAATGTGGGAACTTCCATTCCTCATTTCTTTCCCTCACTGCCACAGTCAGTCAATCAGCAAATGCTGCTGGCTCTTCTTTCAAACTATCACATTCCATCAACTTCCCTCTATTTCCAAGGCTGCCATTCTGGTCCAGACCCACCATTCTCTCTCCCTGAGTGCCCAGTTGCTACCAGGTATATTCTCCTCTTCCTAAAAGGTAAATCAAAACATGGTGCCCACGTATACGAAACCCTTCAATGGCTTCTCATCATACCTAGAATATTCACACCCCTCACATGGCCTGCCAGCCTTTAGATCACCTTGCCCCTGCCCATTTCTTAGATCTTACCTACTCCTGTGTCAGCGGCTCCCTGTGCTCCAGCGATACCTGATTTGGTTCTGTTTCTCACACCAGCCAAGTTCTTCTCAACTTGGAGCCTTTGTCCTTTCTCATCCCATATCTTGGAACGCCCTTCTCTGACTTGGTCCTTCTCCTACTGAAGGGCAAATCAAGTGGAGTTTCTTACATCATTCTCTCAGCATCATAGTCGGCTCATTGCCATCATAATCCATCTCACAGTCTATAATTTTTTCACGTGTGTGGCTTTGCTGTATGTTCTCTGCAATAAGGCAGAAGCACGGTTACTATGGGTGCGCACAGGAAGCCACTGAGGCTATCTCTTGAGGAGATAGAAAGCTGCCAAGAGTAAGTGGTTCCTTCTAGTTTGAGATCCAAAGGCTCATGTGACAAAAGAGGAGGTGGGATGGGTAAAAAGAGACCGTTTTGGTCGAGTGAACAGTGGATAGAGAGGATGGGAACAATATGGCACTTTCAGACGGGTTCCTGTGGCTATCGGGGGGTATAGCTCAGTGGTAGAGCATTTGACTGCAAATGGGTTCCTGTGGCTAAGGATAGTTAAAGGCCAAGAGTAGGCAGGAGGCTGGACACAACGGGCGGCATGTACTATACACCTGTACGTGACAATGGTGGTATTTAGAACTCACTCGTTTAACACACCAGTGCCTCTGATAGGGAATTTATCCTACATAAGTATTCAAGCATCTATGAAGTAGTAATGTCTGCACATTCACTGAAGCACTTTTTCTGTGGGCAAAAAAAAGAAAAACAAGAAAAACAATTTAAATATCTGGTAGAAGTTCATCCAAAAAAAGAGAATGCCACATAGCCCTTAAAAAGAATGTGGATGCTCTAAATGTGCTGATTCTGGAATTATCTGTCCAGGATACACTGACGATTGAAAAAACAAACCCAGGGGCACCTGGCTGGCTCAGTTGTTGAGCGTCTGACTCTTGATTTCATCTCAGGTCATGATCCCAGGATTCTGGGACTGAGCCCGGAGCCAGGCTCTATGCTGAGCATGGAGCCTACTTGGGATTCTCCCTCTTTCTCTCTCTCTCTCTCTCTCTCTCTCTCTCTGCCCTCTCCCCAGCTCTCTCAATACACACACACGCGTGCACATGCGCGCGTGCACACACACAAACACACACAGAAAAAAACAAAACATGACACGCAACAATGTATAGAGAACAATTTCATTTGTTTAAATAAATATATATGCTTACAGATACACAGAGTATCTCTGGAAGAAAACACAGAAAAACCAGTTTCAGTGGTTGACTCTGGAAGTAAGGGGAAGAATATGACTTAGGTACACATGGGAGAGACACTTGCTTTACATTATACACCCTTTTGTGCCTTTTGCAAATACAAATTAAGCCATAACTCTTTACAAGAATATCAGCACTAGAAGTGAGGAAAAGGCTTTAACCTTCAGAATTTTCTTGGTCATCACTTGGGACACTCACTGCCTCTCTCTTGTTCTCTCTTACTGTGTTATTCTAAAATAAAGAAGCAGAGTGAGACGCTAAGGCAGGGGAGCTTGGAAGATACTTGGATTGGTCACTTTTTCTTTTTTTAATGTGTCTTTGCTTTTGAGAGAGTGAGCAGGGAAGGGGCAGAGATTGAGACACACAGAATCCGAAGCAGGCTCCAAGCTCCGAGCTGTCAGCACAGAGCCCAATGCAGGCTGGAACTCACGAATTGCAAGATCATGACCTCATGGAGGCTTAACCGACTGAGCCACCCAGGCGCCCCTGGATTGGCCACTTCTACCTGCAGTCACTATACCCTCCTCCAAGTGAGGGATAGAAAACTTGTTCTTAGACTCGTTAAAGATTTGGCTTCCCTGAGACTCCTCTGGAGTCGGGAAAGTGGTCAGGTGTCGATGCTCCGAACGACACTCACAAAAACAGTAGGAACGGAAATGTCCCCAAAGCCGTCCAATCACTTTGGGTCTTTCTCCTTTCTTATGGTGCCTGTGCCCCTAGATATTGCTGCCAGAGTACTTAGCAGTAGGGTAATGCACGGCAGCTTTTAAAGCCTTTGTGTTTACAGAGAAAGCTGTAGGTTCACTTTGAGCTAAATTCTCACCTCCACATTCTCAGCTCCCTTGTGCGGACTGCATGGCAGCGACAGCTACGTGCTGATTGGCTGGGCCTCCTCAGGGCTGAGCTGAATCACAAGGGTCAGTGACGGTACCAGATGTACATTCACCTTCTCGTTATCCTTTGAGTGAATGTTGATTCAGCATTTAGAACTTGTAAAAACTAGGATATTGAACTCCCTCCCCCACCCCGTTCTTTCTCATTTTTATTTCCTCACCCATTTTATTATTCCCCAACCAGAATTCTCACAAGGGCAAAAACAATTGAAACGTGTGAATCACATGTCAACGGCAGCCCTGATGTTTGTGCAGGAAGCAGCCACAACAATGAGCAAAGGAAGGGAGAGGGCTGTGTGGGCAGGCGGTGTTGGGCTGTTAGAGTCTGTGTCCCAGAAGCCTGTGAAACTGGCCCTGACACAGAGAAAATGCTGCCAAGAAACGAATCCCTAAATGAATGGAAAAGGCAGACCTCTAGGATTTGATTGTACAGAATGTATCGTAATCACTCACGTAACGAGTTATATGTGTTAAGCTTTGTGTGAACCACTCATGATATACAAGTCAATGAACTAAAGGAACTTATGGCTAAGCACGGACGATAACATTTTGCCAGTGATGAGCACTGGGTGCACCGAGTAGGTAGGCTCATCCCCTGAGGACCGTCGTGCTGAGGTCCTGGCCCCTCTTCTCTGCTCTCTTGTTGCCTGTGGGTAACGGGCTCCCAGCTCTGCAGCGTGACCCTGGGTAGACTTCTGAGTTTCTGTTTACACATTTCCAGAAAGGAGCTATTATGCAGCTCGCATGGTCGTTTTAGAGAAAAACATATAAAATAATATGCACTGGTTTTCGGACTTAGCACGTAGTAGGTGCTTAAGTCCCCCCAGATCACTCAGAACTATGCATATTCATCAGATATGTGTAATTTGTTCATTAGAAGGAA